TGAAAAATTTTTTATTTATATTTTTGCTACTTTTGCTGTCTGTGATTATTTTATTCAAAAAGAATGAACGAGAACTAATTCAACAAACAAAGGTTTAGATTATTTGAAATTTCAAGTCACTTCCTATGTATTATTAAAAAAGTATTAACGATCAGTGGTTTTGACATTTAAAAATGTCAAAAGATAAGAAAGTCTGGATCCTAAGGATCCTTTAAATATTTTATTTTCTGCATTTTTTTTGGCGAAATGAAATTTTGAGTAACACTGATAAAATAAAAATAGAAGCAATTTTCGTTTAAAGTTTACGCATCTGGTTCTGTTTCGTTCAACCACGTCCTTTGAAAACTGCTCTTACTAGATATAAGCAAATAGGATAAAGTATGTAAAACTTCAAAATCACTAAAAACACAAATTTATTAAAAAAAATGAGGAAAAATGAAAAAGAACGAAATATTTTTTCTCCTCTTTTTACCGACCGTATTGTGTAAACAATAGGTAGGTTATGTGATGGCAACAAATTTTGCATATCGAGTTTTCGGTGGGAACGAACTTCTCCATAGTAGGGAAGTGTAAATAAACTATTTTTAGCAACCTGTCGGTCTGTCGGTCTGTCGGTCTGTCGGTCTGTCGGTCTGTCGGTCTGTCGGTCTGTCGGTCTGTCGGTCTGTCCGTCTGTCGGTCTGTGTGTGCACGCGTGTATTTCAAGTTCGGCTGAACCGATTTTGATGAAATTTTATATACAAGTTTATTTCCACCATGGCACGGATCGATCAACTTTTGGTATATATCAGGCCTCGGGAACTGCACTTTTTAGCGGGCCTGTTTTACATTTTTGAGCATATTGAAGAACATATTCAACCGATTTACTTGAAATTTCATATATAAGTTTTGCTCTACCGGCGATGAAACCTCCTAATTTTTGGAAGAAATCAGGCGTCAGCAACTGGACGTTTACTACGGGCCAAATATACATTTCTGTGTATATAAAGAGAAATAATCACCCGATTTTATTGAAATTTGATATATAAATTCCTCGTATGAAAACTATGAACATATAAATTTTTTGGAAAGATCAGGGCTCGAAAACTGATTTGCGGGCCGATTTTACATTTTTCACCATTTTGAAGAAAATATTCAACCGATTTACTTGAAATTTCATATATGAGCTTTGTTTGACCGTCCGTGAAAATTCCTAACTTTTGGAACAAATCAGGCATCGGCAACTGGACGTTTACTACGGGCCAAATATACATTTTTGTGTATATAAAGAGAAATAATCAACCGATTTCATTGAAATTTAATATGTGAATTCCTCGTATTAAAACAATGAACATGTAAATTTTTTGGAAAGATCAGGCACCGGCAACTAGACGTTTACTACGGGCCAAACATACACTTTTGTGTATATAAAGAGAAATAATCAACCGATTTCATTGAAATTTAATATTTGAATTCCTTGTATTAAAACAATGAACATGTAAATTTTTTGGAAAGATCAGGGCTCGAAAACTGATCTGCGGGCCGATTTTACATTTTTCACCATATCTACGGAACGAATTGATGGAGTTTCTTGAAATTTGATATTTGAGTTCTGATTGTTACCGAAACTAACTGGCGAGCATTTCAGGGAATTCGGGTAGCACAAAGCGAAACTCTACTAAGAGCCAAATTTACATTTTTCTAGGTATGTTAACTATAAGCTTACTAATGTCCTAAAAATTGGAAAGAAGTATTTAACAGACATTCTTATAATACTCTGTAACACTTTCACTTAACTAGACAATACCCATTGCGGTCGGTTATGTGCTGACCACATCAGATTTTTTCTTTTCGTGTTATTTTTTTGCAGTTTCTCTAAATATCCTTTTTATTTTTCTCTTTGTTTTTTGTCTTTTTCTCTCTATTTATATCATTATTTTTTAATGTCCTTTTCCATTAAATTTTTCTTTATAGTAAAAGATAACAGCATAAAAAAAATTATTGTGAAAATGCTTGTGGAACTGGTAAAATCTATTGCGTTCCTTTGCACAAAAACAAGAGAAACATTAAAACAAAAAAAAAATACTCAACTCATTTAAAATTATTTTAGATTATGCCATGGCCATCATCATCTAGCGATTAGAGCGGATGGATTTCATTATGCGAAAAATTTTCGTATTTGAAAAAAAAAAACAAAAATGGGTCAGTGATTAAAATAATGAAGATTTAGGTGGATAATGTAAAAATAAAAGAGAAAATAGAAAAAAAGTTGAAAATTATTAAGAGGAAAACCATAGATTCTAGTGAAAATATTCATAGCGACAAGAAAAAAAAACATTTAAAAATTAAAATGAAAAATTGAAATTTGTATACTAAGGGAAAAAAATACTTAGGTTTGGTGATAACGTTTTGATACCTAAAATTAGGATAAATGGTTTTACAAGCATTTCACGTGAATATTTTAAGAGAATAAATTTAAGGTGAGAAATGAGAATATAAAAACAAATTCAGAATATTTCAAATACACACAAAAAATTAAAATAGAATAGTGTGTCAAAGACCCTCAATTTTCGTGGAACTAATAACTTGTATAATTTAAAAAGAATGAATTAATTTTGAATGTGGAGAAACATTTAATGCTTATAATTAGAAAATTGTAAATAGGGAATAGATTATTTTTATATAAGTCCCTCATTTGAACTGTGACTTTATAATATTTAATTTAAAATTTCGAATTGTTTGCTTCCTCATGCTTCGGATCAGCGTCTGGGACCCCATCTGTGATCTCATGACTCAGTGTGGACGTATTACAGAAATTTTTCATAGACTTAGATATGTATTTCATATGTGGATGGAAGCGCAGGTCGAGAATTCTATAATTTAGAATTAGAAAGGCCTAAGTATTTTCCTCAAAAGAAAGTAAAGAGATATATGATTATTCATTCGCGTTATATGAAGTAATGCCTTTTATATTCTGGGTTTCGCAAAACTAAACTCTAATAAAGGGGAATAAATCATACGGATTCACATTTTTAATCAAAATCTTATAAAACTATTAAAATCGTGGTTTCGTATTAAACTCAACATTGACAAGTGTCAGATTCTAAATTTCTCTACAGAAAAGAATGAGTTTCAAAAAGTTATTGATTTTAAGAAAATTTCAGTAATAAATTGTTTCAAGAACAAAACAGTAATAAATAGACTAAATTCAAACTTGCAAAGTGTTATGGTGTAAGTTTTTCAAAAATTTTTATTACATTTCTTGTACGATAGCTTCTTTTAATTTTACGCATTTCTTTGACTTGACCAGATTCTTACCAGAAGTATTTCAATTTAGGATGTATGCTATTAAATAACCTTTCTCCCTTTCTTTAATCGGATTTTACGACTTAGTATTGCCAGTTGAAAATAGTTTTTTCATATAACGTAACCAGTTGCGGATATGATTTAAATAATCAGTCGTTCAATACATAACCACAAAATATATAAAAAATGTTTAAATTTCGCATTGCTAAGCACTCATCTCTTCAATATCTTTTCGATATGAGAAACGAAAGCACACAGTAGATAATTGAAAAAATAAAAAATCCACAGTGATTTACATTAATCTATAGATTTTGGGAATTTCAAAAGAAAAATTGCAATAAAACAAGTCTGTACTCATTTTATTTTCTATTGTTATAAAGTTTTCATGAAGTAAACTTTTTTATTATTACAAATTAGCAAGTAAAGTTCTTCAAAAAATTGATAAGATTTCAAAATGATGAATGAACTTGATGAAATAACAGAATTTCCTTACAAATCTATTATTGAAGCTAATTATAATATTCTGTAAACTTTATGCTTTTAGTAATTACTTCTCATTAAATTTAAAATTTTAAATTTTGAAATTATTTTAAAATTTTCACCTCTTTAAATTCACTAGACTTGAAATTTTCTTAAATTAAATTCATCTTATTTATATAAAATGCTCTCAGTCTTAGTAAGGATGTTTTCTTTTAAATATTTATCTTAAAGCTAATTACTGTTCACCACTAAATAAATGTTTGGTGTATAACTAAGTACTTTACTATAATTTTTTACAGCTATATTTTCGCATATACATACAGAAAAAGAAAATCATAAATAATTCTTTGCATTGCGGGGGATAAGTACATTTCCTTTTATACTATAAAAAGAAAATTCATATTAAATTTTTGCTCTTTTTATGATTTTCCCTTTCTGTTTTTCTATGCTTTGCAATGAAATTTAAGTCACGTTCTAAAACTTTATTAGGGTCTTCTTAAAGATTTTTAATTCATAAAGGTTCTTGTAAGTTTTTTTTTTGTTGGTTGGTCCTCACTTCGTTTCAGGAAAATTACAAAGTTTAATACTATTTACTAATGAATTTCTTTTTAAAATCATTTTTATAAAAATGTACATAAAATAATAGGGTCTAAGAGTTGAGTATGAAAGAAAAAAAGATGATTTCAAACTTTAAAGGACAAAATTTAATTCTTAAAAGGGTTTTTCGTCTTAATTTTTCATTTTGATAATTTTTTTTCTTTTTCGGTGAGTTATGGGTTTTATATTATGGTATCATAATATTTTTGTTATGGAATGATTAAGAGCAGTTAATTGATGCCATAATTATAACATTAGCGATTTCATTTAACTAAAAATAATTCAAAATATAAGATTTCTAGAAGGCAAAAAACTGAAATAATTCTGAAAAATGTGACGTTTTCTATTATTTTAATATTAAAATTAGTTGTAGTTGTTTATTATTATTTTCGAAGTTAAGAAAATAGTAAAGCTCTAAAATTATGGCAGATTTCTTGAGAAATTATTTAATTAACGGTTAAGAAGTCCACATAACGCAACAATTTCAGTAATATAAGTTCTCTGAATTGAAACTTTATAAACTATTTTCTGTTCTGTTTGAGCATAGCTTATTAGAGCAAAATATTTTATGTGTTTTAATATACTATTACTAATCAGATTCATTTTTTAATTAAATATAATTATTTTCAATTCTTTCAGGTATAATATTGTGTTATCAAAGGCCAAATCATAATTCTAATACAAATAATCATGGTAATGATAAACCAACACATGTACCACATTCACCATTTGGTCATAAATGGACTGAACCATATTTTGATGTTCAAATGCCTAGAAATGTAACATCATTAGTTGGTAAATCAGCTTATTTAGGATGTCGTGTTCGGAATTTAGGTAACAAAACGGTAAGTTAATTTTGTTCATAATATAATATTCAAGTTGAAATTGTTTGGATGAGATGTTGATAAATAAGCTCATTTTAATACATAATTAATATAGATCCTATATACACCCTATATACAATTAGCGTATTGCTCTTTATGTGTTGTATATTTTCCGCGTTAATATTAATAGTGTTCTAAGATATTAATAGTGCCGCGATTGTGTATGAATAACACTAGAATAATAGAACTACAATAAGAGCAAACTTGTAAAAATTATATTGTTTATATTAAGCGATAAGGTGGACAAATTTTATTTTTAAGTATGTGTAGAGTTACAAAGATTGTTGAAAACTTTTTCCCTAAAAACAACTGAACCTTTTGATTAGTGTATTGAAAGTTGAGACCAAAACAAGAGAATAACTTATATATTGTACGTGCTCAAATATTTTGAATATTATTTTTTGTTTTTGCAATTAACAATGCGACCTTGCTCACGTTCCTACAAATTGAGAATAACTTATAGACACTTTAAGCATAAATGGTTTCCTATTTTCCTTCTTTTTTTTTCTTTATGTAATATGAGTCTGCACCAGATGGTGTAAAATATAATATATTATCTTTTCATAAAAATATTCTTAAATTTTAATAAATTAAAATTTCTATAAATTTTTTTTTTCTAAAAAACTAGAAAAAAAAAATCTTATTGACCATTTTTAATGTCATCCCATTCAATTGGTTTTCCATCCGAACTTAAGGCTATCAAAAAGGTATATATAAAGTCAAAAATAAGAAAAACAAAAAAAACCATAAATGAACACCAAAAGTTAATCGTACTTATTGAATATCATAGAGAAAATGCTGAGTTTCATATAATTTTTATTTTTCTTATTCTAAAAAATTGCGAAAAACTTGAAAATTTCAATAAAACAAATTTTTGTTCTCATTCCAATAATGTAGTCCTAAATAACATCCTTGAAATTTTGTTGGCTTCATTCAATTCCTTTTTTTTTTCCATATCAGTCTACAAAAGAAAGAAATGTAGTATAGGACTGGGTAGTTATTATAAAACTGAAATTTCTTTAGAATGAAAATTAAATTATTTTCAATAAAAAAAAAATATTTTGCTGCTCGTGCTTCCTTAAAAGTGTTTGCATGCGTACGTGCATTTTGTTTTAGTCTTTATAGCTATATAAATTTTATATCACAACTGTGTAAGCATTGTAAATATTTGATATATAGATTTGGTAGAGAAAATCTAAAGGAAGAATATTTTTTATGTCTTCTTTAGAATAATACTGCTAATAAGGTTCTAACAACCTGGCCAGTGAATATTTTATAATAAATAGCTTAAGTATTTAAGGAATATCGACAATATTTTAATATTATGTATATCAGCTTCGTCTTACAGAAAAAATCGCGGAAAAACCTAATATAATGGATTGTTGGTAAAAGGTAAATTCTTTCGTTTAAAAAGAGCAAAATTCATGAACCATCTTGGATGTTTAAATGGGATCGACAATAATTATATTATATTTACGAATTGAAAACTTAAAACATCTAACAAAATCTTAACCATTACAAGATCCGTATATAGTTATGGCATGTGACAATACACGTAAAATATTAAATTTCTGGTACAAGGGTGATTCCGGATTTTTACTCATCATATAATTTTAAAGTTATTGGATTTATTCTCATTTGTGCTAGCATTAGCTGTACTCTTATCATTTGAAGTAAAAGCTACTACATGTCCGTGTGAGGAATGATTTTCAAAAAGCAGCTACTTTTGGAAAAGTTTCTATTCTAAAAAGTTGTATTAACATTTTTATTGAAAATTTGTAAGTAGTCCTTTTTATACTTCTAAAAGGAACAAAAAAAAAAATAGATCCCAACTCAAAACGATTTAAGTCACTTTTGTTTGTGAAATATTAAAATCCCTTGGGATTACATTCGGATATAATTTTTTTAATAATTGTTTCTCAAAAAAAGGAAAACAAACTAACGAAACAAAAGTCAATAGCAAAAACAAAAACAAAAAAGGCGAATAAGCAGAAAAGTAACATCCTTTTTAATAAAATCAAAATTTAGATAAATTTACAATAAATAAAAAAGTATACGGAAATTTCGGGAGAAAAATTATTATTATATATTAGGCTTCATAAGGTACAAAAAACAAAATAAATTACTGGGACTTTTAAAATTTATTCACTACGTTATACTTAAAAACTTGCGATGTTTACTTTGCACATTGAGAACTGTAGCTCACACAATTTTGTTAAAGAGTAAGAATTCGATTTTTTTATTTAATGTAAGAATTTGAAATTGAGCTACTGGAAACTACCTCTAACTTTTTCCTAATATACTACAACTACTTACCCGAACGACAATAAATAAGAACGAAATTTATTAAGTAAAATTCCATTTTTTTTTTCATGTAGTTTTCCACTAAAAAATTCATAAATCTGTTTCGTCCTTGTGACTAAACTTTTGCATAAATAAAATATTAGTTTCCATTTTATTTGTTTCAATTCGCATACATGAATAAAAAATTTTCTATTACTAATTTCGTGAATCCTTTCTCTTATATCAATGTTTTTGTTTGTTTTTTACATAGAATCAATTACGTGTGGAAACTACATAAACATTCTTTAACAAGAATTCATTATAGATAATTTCACATGCACATCAAAACTATTCGTCAAAACAATTGGTCTCTGATATATTTATGAATACAAATTGTTAAAGCCAAAAGAAAAAAAATAAAATAAAATAAATAAAATTGAGTGTAATTTATTTATTTCAAAAATTGAACAAAAAAATAATAATCATAAAATTACATGCAATTTATCACAAATCAATTGAATATTTTTAAAACTCAATTGCTTTCCAACAAAAAAAAACACGACAATATTAAAATTATATGAAAACAAATCGAAATTTTTATTGGATGTAATGAACGTTATATTGAACGAGGAATTTTTAAGTTGAGCAATCTACATTATTATGGCAAGAACGTTTTGATAAATACAAAAAAAAAATCGTACGACAAATATGTACGACATATAAAAGAATATACCCTTTAAATTGTTTATTTTTTGTAACTAATACGAACTCTTACTTAAATTAAATGGTATTAAAAATTTGTTATTCCGTACGCAGCTTTAAGAAATAATAATAGAAGATAAAAATATAGGAATTGGAGTCCCTGCTATTCAAGTTTAGAAGTAATCTTATAAAATATTGAGAACGTATTATTAATCAAACGAATGTGCAAATAAAATGTAAAAATTGATTAGGATTGTGTGAGTACTTTTAGTATAATTAATACAAAATGATTTCATAATATAACAGACACTTTATAGGCCGCAATATTCAAATATTATTTTTAAACTATTGAGTTAACACGAACTATTCTTAAACAAAGCCGAATAAAAAGAGAAAAAACAATTCCTATTAATAAAACCAATACTTTCTAAATGAAACAAATATTGTCGACATTACATCAATTCATTAAATTTCGGCTGCATTCAACAATAATGCTCTGACTGAATTATCCAGTTTACACCAAGATTTTTCTATAAAATATGGTCGAATACATTAATATACGCTGTACAAATATTCTAATTCATGTTTAAGTTTTCAAAAATTAAGCAAGCGATCAAATCAATTTATATTTTCAATTTTTTTTGTAGATTTATTTGCAACCTAAGATTGTTCTTAATACCACTGTTTCAAATGTAAGACTAAATTTTTTTTTCGTATCAATTCAAGTGCATTACAAAAGTACAAAATAACTGCAAATCAATATTACTTACCAATATCTTCATACATAGGATATATGTATATTTAAGGAAATGTTATGATACAGATCCATATGAAGTAACTACATGTGGAAATTTGCTAATATATTCCATTTAACGTGTGAGAAAACAAGAGGAAAGTTTTATTTTCATTAAATTGTTTCCAAGATTTTTAACTTGGAGATAAATTTTAAACTGATTGCATCAATAGTACAGTTATCCTTTGCATGCGATCATCTCGATTTAGAAAAATTCTATGGAAATCGCTAAAATTTCGGAAATCTAATAACTATAAATATTTCTATATACATATATTTTTTTAATAACTCCAAAATATAAGATTTAATTTTTCTTATCTAAAATTTGGGTATTAAAAGAACCCAAATTCTTATCTAAAATTTGGCTTTTAGTCTGAAAAGAACTTTCAGCGGGGAATTATGTTATTTTATCTCAAGAAACTCAGCGATGTATATGTGGTAATTTGGGCCAGAAACAACAAAATAAATTTAAGGTTCAATAATTAGAAAGCTACATCGACATTCAAATTTTTTTTAAATTTTTTGCAGGGGTGCTAGACTGTGATTTGGTATTAGGCTGCCTAATGAAATTGTCTATTAATTGAATTATCTTATAAGCAATTTTGATAAATACTTCTTTTTATGTAAACAAAACTCTCCTAGGAAATTAAAAAGAATTTCTCTAACTTAAATTATAAAAGGATTTGCTAGTAACTAGTTATTTATATTTAAAATAAAAGAAAACTGCTTAATGCAAATACTTTCCAAAATACCGTATCAAAGTCAATTTTAGAGTAAAACTGTTATATTCAATGATTTTACATAACAATCCTCTTTAGCGAATATTATTACAACTATATAACAGCAGATGTATGCATGTATGTTTGTATGCCTGTTATTTAGAAATGCGTACAAATAATATTATAACATTTCAATATATTTTGAAAAACATGACATACACATGAGACAAACTGAATAGAAAGAGCACGAAAATTGTAAAAAAAAAAGTAAAAAAAAAAAATAAATAAATATAGAAAAACAAAAAGGAAAACAAAGATAATATAGAGGAAAATTACAGGAAATTTTAATAATGCAAGACGTAAGCAGGTCTTGAAAATATTTTCACGCCATTTTGTAATACACATCATGTATACATATTCATGGATCTACATACATAAACATGTATACATACATTATTGCGGTA